GAACCAAGTACATCGCCCTACGGTATTTCTTCTTCAAGGATGAAATTGCGAAGGGGAGACTTCAACTGAGTTACTGCCCCACGACAGAAATGGCTGCAGATTACCTGACGAAGAAACTGGCGAAGGCAAAGTTCGATTATTGCATGCTGCCGACCGGGCAGATAAGCGTCACCGAATCCGGACACGTCAGCACTCCAGAAACGAAGGGGAGTGTTGGAAACACCTCGAAGACTTAAGCGTTTCTGAAGTGTAACACTACACTCGAAGAAAAGTTGTATCGAGTACACGAGTCAACGGAGGTTACACGAGGAGGTTGGACGAAAGAACACAAAAGGACGAAGGGACTCGAAGGGTTGCAACTGGAGGTTGCAACTGACCGTTGCGACTGCAAGGGTGGTAATCGAACCAACGGCGACTCGATAACCGTTTCTTCAACTGTATTCTACAACTGCTCTATTTCCTATTTTTTATATATTGCTGTATTTAATCAATCACTTGCTCTCACATGCACCTGTTCTCCTATTTAGTCCCACGGTTTTTGCACGCGACTTGAGCCTGTAAGCAGGAAATTGTAAAACGCGGGCAAACGGGACTTTGAAGGGGAAATTCCACAGTAAACAATGACACTTGGTTACAAAATCTCGCTCATGCACTAGATTGGTTGCCGGCGCGACATTCCAGCTCTGAATCTCGCAATTGTCGAAATACAACTTGGTAGTTCGTTATCGTTCATACCTGGTTCAGGTTCAGTGTCAACGCGAGTCATGCTGAGAACCTGGTAGTGAGATTGCAATTTGGACTGTTCGGGGTGGGACCATAGAGGAGAAAAGGTGTACTAGTGCAAGGGTTCAACTACTCAACACTTCCGCTGCACTACTCAAGCATCTTGCACAAGTGGGACTTATTCGCTGGAAAGATCCCAAGGGCTTTTTCTCAGCCCAATAATGGGGTGCAAGATGACAGCAGAGCTGCCCCCGGCACGATGACAATCTCTAACTGCAACACCTAGCACGTAAGCAGCACGCCCCAAGCAGACATAATCCACTCCACATCAAATATGCAGCCACGCATTATGCACACGGAGATTAAGAACATGCACAACCGAAAGCTCGACATATGGAACTACTTATCAACCAGCACACCTCTCAAACCCCCTGTTCCACACCATCCCACTCCTCCCTCCCTCCCCCACCCCTCCCCTTTCCCTGTTCCTTTCCACCCCATCTTCCACACCCCTTAATATTTTGTAGAGCAGAAAGTGGATTTCTTCAGTCATGGTCTGCACCAAGGGGTACGAGCTGAAGAGTAGCATGAGTTGACATTGGAGGGAGGAAGAACAGAGGGAGTAAGAACAGGGGGAGTAAGAACAGGGGGAGTAAGAACAGGGGGAGTAAGAACAGGGGGAGTAAGAACAGAGGGAGGACGAACAGAGGGAGGAAGAAAAGAGGGAGGAAGAACAGAGGGAGGAAGAACAGAGGGAGTAAGAACAGAGGGAGTAAGAACAGGGGGGGTAAGAACAGGGGGAGTAAGAACAGGGGGAGTAAGAACAGGGGGAGTAAGAACAGGGGGAGTAAGAACAGGGGGAGTAAGAATAGGTGGAGTAAAAACAGGGGGAGGAATAGGAATAGGGGGAGTAAGAACAGAGGGAGGAAAAACAGAGGGAGGAAGAACAGAGGGAGTAAGAACAGAGGGAGTAAGAAAAGAGGTAGTAAGAACAGAGGGAGTAAGAACAGAGGGAGTAAGAACAGGAGGATTAAGAACAAGCGGAGTAAGAACAGGGGGGAGTAAGAACAGAGGGAGCAAGAACAGGGGGGGTAAGAACAAGGGGAGTAAGAACAGGGGGAGTAAGAACAGGGGGAGTAAGAACAGGGGGAGTAAGAACAAGGGGAGTAAGAAGAGGGGGAGTAAGGACAGGGGGAGTAAGAACAGGGGGAGTAAGAACAGAGGGAGTAAGGACGGGGGGAGTAAGAACAGGAGGAGTAAGGACAGGGGGAGTAAGAATAGGGGGAGTAAGAACAGGGGGAGTAAGAATAGGGGGAGTAAGAACAGGGGGAGTAAGAGCAGGGGGAGTAAGAACAGGGGGAGTAAGAATAGGGGGAGTAAGAACAAAGGGAGCAAGAACAGGAAGAGTAAGAACAGGGGGATTAAGAACAGGGGGAGTAAGAACAGAGGGAGTAAGAACAGGGGGAGTAAGAATAGGGGGATTGAGAACAGGGAGAGGAATAAGAACAGGGGGAGTACGAAGAAGGGGCGTAAGAACAAGGGAGCAAGAAAAGGGGGAGTAAGAACAGGGGGATTAAGAACAGGGGGGGTAAGAACAGGGGGAGTAAGAACAGGGGGAGTACGAACAGGGGGAGTAAGAACAGAGGGAGTAAAAACAGGGGGGGTAAGAACAGGGGGAGTAAGAACAGGGGGGATAAGATCAGGAGAAGTAAGAACAGGGGGAGTAAGATAAGGGGGAGTGAGAACAGGGGGAGTAAGAACAGGGGGAGTAAGAACAGAGGGAGGAAGAACAGAGGAAGGAAGAACAGAGGGATTAAGAACAGAGGGAGTAAGAATAGGGGGAGTAAGAACAGAGGGAGTAAGAACAGTAAGAGGAAGAACAGAGAGGGGGGAAAGAATAGAGGATCGAAGCATGGACGGGGATGACAGAAGGGGGTAGAACTGATGCATGATGGAGGAGAGAAGAACAGAGGGAGGGAGAACAGAGGGGGGAAGGATGGAGGGGGAGAACGGGGGAGGGAAGACCGATGGGAAACGGAGGGAGGAAAAATGGAGGAGGAAATACAAAAGCGGGAAGAACAGATGCAGAGGGAAAAAGAACAGAGGGGGTAAGAAAGGGAGGGGGGAGGCATAAGGGGGAAGAACCCATGGAGAAAACACTGCAAGAATGGAAGGGTAAAGAAGGAAGGGGAGAACGACGGGAGAAGAATGGATGGGGGAAGAAAGGAGAGCGGAAGTCAAAGCGGGAAGGCAGAGAAAGGAGAGAACGGAGGGCGGAAGACAAAGGGAGGAGAAACGAAGGGGTGAAATGGAGAGAGTTGAAAGTAGGGGGGAAGAATGGTGGGGGGAAGAAGGGAGCGGAAAAACAGAGGGGAAAAAAGGGGGGAAGACGAATTGGGAACGGAGAGAGGAAAGATGGAGGAGCGAAGAGGAGAGGAAGGACACAGGTGAAGAATGGGAGGAAGAAGGAAAGAGCGTGGGAGTTAGAGAGAGAGAGAGAGAGAGAGAGAGAGAGAGAGAGAGAGAGAGAGAGAGAGAGAGAGAGAGAGAGAGAGAGAGAGAGAGAGAGATACAGTGACGGAAACAATTGTCCAGATGTTTTGCATTAATTTGGGTTTTGGGGATTTCCGACCACTGTACATAAAGTCTTAATGTTTAATGGTGCTGCACTTTGGGAGGGGCACATAGTGGATGTGTTCACAATGCTAAAATCCATAATAGTACACTGGATCTAACTTAGTGCCAAAAGATATACAAAGAGTACATCCAGACAATTATTTCCCAGGACAAAGAGCAAGCTTCTGAGCAGCGTTTCTAGTACCTACTCCACCAACACTTGGCCTTGATCACCACCTGCACCCTCCTAGGCATGTTATCTATGAGACTAGTGCAAACTTTTACAACGATCTTCTCGCACTCTTCCTGGACCCACCGTTTTGCATAAGGGGGTGAGCACTAGGAAAATCGCGAAGTATTTGAGCATATGCAAGAGTATTGTGCACGATTTGAGATTGAATGTTATCTCTGAGACTAGCCACGCTGAGGTGCGGCCAAAGATGCCATAAGTCGATTAGTCCCATTTTATCATGGATCGACTTCGTCGTACCCTTGTAGGGTAAAATTACGAGCAGAGTGGCGAAAACTAGTGTGTCCGCTGCGAAACTTAGGGTAACATAGCACGGTCGATTATGCACCCTTGCACTATTAGAATCACGCTAGTATCCGTAGGAAATAGTGTTTAAGCAGGAAGTGCGCTAGCATCACCTATGCTAGGAGCAGGTGCGATATCGTCAAGTGGATTAGCTTAGAGAAGGAGCGAGAGAGAGGGGAGAAAGGTGCGCCTAGCTGTAGTGACTCTTACCTGTAGTCGGTGGTATGCTCACTCACTTGCCGCACATGCCCTTGCTTCTCCGTCCCGCGCTTCCTCCTCTCTCTTCTGCCTCCCATCATAGACAGCATGCCACGCCACGCGTGCATGTCGCCAGTGGCATAGCGCCAGCCTGCATCGCGCCAGCGCACAAGGCGCCAGCGCGCAAGGCGCCAGCGTGAAACGCGCCAGCGCGAAACGCACCAGCGCGCAAGGAGCTAGCGCGTGACGCGCCAACGCAAAATGCGCCAGCGCGCAAGGCGTCAGCGTGCACGGCGCCAGCGCGAAACACGCCAGCGCGAAACACGCCAGCGCCCATACTGTCGAAGAGCGAACTACTTAGGAGCAAGAACTAGTTACGAGCAAAAACTAGTTACGATGATGGACTAGGTATGAGGAAGGAGTGGGTAACGAGCAAGAACAAGGGACGAGCAAAGAGCAAAAAGTTGGCACTGAACAAACGAGGATTGAGCAAGAACAAACCCTAGCTGGGGTGTATTCGCTCTGCCCCAGAAAGCTAGCAAATTACAGGTCGGCACCGTCACTGACCTGTTAAGGTAGAGCACTAAAGAATGTAACATAAACTAACCCAGATACATAAGTACTTCATATAGTACGTTGAAACATTTCTACAGTTGTGAGAGGTCATATGATTTCTTTATGTTACCAGTTTTAAATTATATCCTTCTACTAGGTGACTTCTCATTTTCAATAAAGGCATAAACAAATATGGATACATACGCAAACCATACGACGATTTACGTCGAGCCTTGTTTTATTATATTGAAGTAATAAATGGAGATTAGTGGCCCATATACTAGGGATCATTTATTTAAATTACATAGGTTCATTAGCTTTACTATGTAAATATTTGGATGAAAAGAACTACCTATGATATTGTACTTCAAAATAGATAATGATGGTAAACAACGAATGTGTTCATGTTTTCCATCATCTCCCATTTCGTGTTTTGAGAAAAAAAAGAGGAAAGAAAGCTACCTCTTTCGAAAATACATGAAGGGGATTTCCCTAAATGTCTATAATATAGTGTAATGCATTTTATACAGTAATATATTATTGGTAAAATAATTATGGAAAACAAAAATTGTGAATGTTTTCCATAATTGCCCGTCTTGTATTTTTGTCGACGACAAAAATAGGCAATCGTTTCCTCAGCTAAGTGGGGGAAATTGAATGCCTATTGGACAGGTCACACGACATATTTTGAGGCAATACATTTCATGACTACAAGAAAATGGATTGCAGTCATAATTTCCAGTTCAAATGACTACACTCAAGGTGGAAAGTCAAAGAACCTTACTTGAGACGATCAATACAACCCACTTTCTTGCATACACAAAATGCACCACCCGTTTATCAAACAAGCAGTTGCAAAATGGAAAAGGATCGCATCACAAAGCAAAAGAAAAAAAAACACCGACACAACACATGGAGACTAAGATGCATCAGGAGAAAGAAATGCCGCAACAAGCAGAAAACATATAAAAACATGCTATTGTAGATAAAAGCAATGTCGGAAACCAAAAATCTCTTCCAGGAGCATTCCTGATGCACTAACAAGCGTGGATTTTTTTTTTTGAAAAGAACACAAGTTAGTTGAGACAACAAGACATTGTATAACACAGGAAATGAAAACGAGGATTGAAGAAGTGAATGACATATTAGACAGAGGTAAGAAAATGGGATGAGAGAGGTTGAGAGGGAGACAGGGGTGAGGGGGGGGAGGGGGGAATGAGAAAACCGGAGAATGGGAGAATGGTCTATGGGAGAATTGAGACAATGCGAGAATCAGAAAATGAGAGAGTAGTCAATAGAAGAATAAGACAATGAGAGAATCGGAAAGTAGAGAATGAGAAAATAAGGGAGGGAGGGAACAATGGGAGAATGAGACAATGAGGGATGAGAGAATGAGAAACTGTAGGAGTGAAAGGGAGAATGAGAGCATAAAGAAACCAAAGAATGAGTGAGTGGGAAAATGTGTGAAAGAAGGATTGGGAGAATACAAGAAGGAGATATCAAGAGCATTAGAAAATCAGAGAATGAGAGAATTACCTATGGGAGAATGAGACAATGAAAAAAACAGAAATCCAGAGAATGAGAATATGAGAGAGTGGTCAATGGGAGGATCGAGACAATGAGAATGAATGGGAGAATAATGGAATCAAGAAATGAATGGAACAAGAGAGAAAATAGGAAGAGAGAGAGAGAGGGAGAGAGACAGAAAAAGAGAGAGAGAGCGAGAAACAGAAAGAGAGAGATAGAGAGAGAGAGAGAGAGAGAGAGAGAGAGAGAGAGAGAGAGAGAGAGAGAGAGAGAGATAGAGAGAGAGAGAGAGAGAGAGAGAGAGAGAGAGAGAGAGAGAGAGAGAGAGAGAGAGAGAGAGAGAGAGAGAGAGAGAGAGAGGGAGGGAGCGTAGAGGGAAAGAGGGAGAGAGGGGCAAAAAGTGAGAGAGGGAGAGATAACGAGAGAGAGTGAGTGAGAGAGAGAGAGAGAGAGAGAGAGAGAGAGAGAGAGAGAGAGAGGTAGTGTGTGTGTTAGAGAGAGGAATAATTTTTTAGGAACACAAAATTTACAGATTGTGATTCAATTTGAAGTGGAGTTTTGCTGTAAAGGAAACAAGCTCCTTCACATTCTCGCAGGTCCTATGGACTTGCCACCTAGTCTCATTCTCATTTCTCTTCTCTGATTGCTTACCACCAGCACACTCTTAACCCCTCCTATGCCCAGACCTGGGCATAGAAGCACGCTACTTTGGGACTTAATTACCACACGTTTTTCTACCATGATTGGAGGAATGCTTTCTGGTGCAAGTGGTCGTCCTCCTGTTTCAAGAATGAATCTAAGGAGCAACGGACAACGTGGCTCCCCTGTGCATGAAGGAAGTCAAGCTTCTTCCTCTCATCGTGATCCTTCCCGCTCTCCACGCAACAGAAACGCTTCTGTTACTGCATTGGATTTGCTGAATGGCGCTCGGCTAAACCCCGTTCAGCAACCCGGATTGGCTCTCCTCGGAGATCGTAATGCTTCTAACGGTCGCGATTTTCCTCCCGGGTTTCGCGGAGAGCGGCGTGACGAACAAGAACGTGTCGACATGAACCCGGCATGGGAAAATGCCCCGCCACCCATGGAACAGTTGCGCGCGGCACCCCTCGGCCGCAATCATGACGGTTCTGCGCGTGAGGGTCGCAATGATCATCGCGATGCTGGGCGCGCATGTCGAAATGATGAGCAGAATCCTGGGCTTGACCAGGCGTGTCAGGAACTAGTTCGTCAGAATCTTGACCTGCGCGCAAATCGCCAGGAGCACCAGGATCATGGCGATCGGCAGAATCTGCACACGTCGATTTGGAATCTCGCCTGACGAATCAGCACGCACAGCAGGATCCAGTCGTCATCGCCAATGGAGTTGCAAATTTCGCCAAAATGATGGCGCGCCTGAACCCCGCAACCCAGTGAAATTTCCACCGAAACTTCATAGGTGCTGCAACTGGTGAGCACGTTACAGCGAGCTCCATATCTTCTACAGCACCCCGATCTGCAGATCAAATTCTTTATCAAATTCTTGCTCGTTACATCAACAACGACAACGTTAATAATCACGGAATTCATCACGTCATCGGTCTTCTCTCGGCCCTTCAGCGTGGACAAACCGGTGATCCAGCACCACCCCCTGTACCTGCTTGACCTGCAGCCGCAGCAGTGCCACGCTCCCGCCCTCCTCCCGTCGTGGCCGAACTCGAGGGTGATGGCGCGGACGACGATGCACCCATGGAAACCCTCGACAAAGGTAACGCCGCTTGTCTCAAGCTCGCCGACGGCAATCTGTCATCCCATCCTTGTCATTAAATCGCTTGCCGTGACTTTCATTTTTTGATTCTTTTGATTGTCTTGCTCAGTGCTTGTTCCCGCCTGAATTTGTTCTCCGATGGCGAGAGCGGCTACATCAACCCCCTCTATGACGATTTCATCGATGAGGACGGGGACGTCACCGACGACGAAGAGGCACATGCGGCCTCGCTGGTGGCTGACGACATCGACGACGCTGAAGCGGCAACCGACGCAGTTGCAGTAGCAGATAAAGAGCCGAGCACAGACAATGCAGAGACTGCATCAGTAGCAGCAAGTGTTGATGTGTGGCCGGCAGAAGGCATTGCGGATGAGGATGACGACAACTGCTGGTGGGACGAGCTTGAAGATGGGAGTGACGTCGAGATGTGGCAAGTTGGTGATGAGGAGCCTGAGGACGACGACTAGAGCAGTGACAGAGGCATGAGCAGAATGGATAAGAGCAACATTACGGAAATACACTCACATTACAAAAACAAACCTATGAATCAAGCAAGCGTATGGATAAGAGCAGCACCTATTTTTAAAATACACCCACATTACGGAAACAAACCTATGAATCAAGCAAGCAACAGCAAAATGGATAAGAGCAAGAACGCAAAGCAAAAGAAAAAATCACAGCAACACTACCCGTGGACTCTAAAATGCACCAGCAGCAAGAAATGCAGCAACAAGCCAAAAGCAATTAAACATGTTATGCAACAGTCTACTGCAGATAAAAACAACCACCGAGAAATAAAGATCTCTTCCAGAGATATTTATGAAGCCCCAACACTCACACAAGAGAGAGAGAGAGTGAGAGAGAGAGAGAGAGAGAGAGAGAGAGAGAGAGAGAGAGAGAGAGAGAGAGAGAGAGAGAGAGAGAGAGAGAGAGAGAGGTTAGAGTAGCGGAAAAGTGTGACTAAGGGAAAATGTCGAGGGATACAAAACTAGGGTTGTACTCACAAAGAACTAAACTAGCTAGGCTATAAACGAATATGACATAGGAAATCTACTGTGACGGAAACAAGTGTCCGGATGTATTGCATTAGTTAGGGGTTATGGGCTTTTCGATCACAATACATAAAATTTTAATGTTTTATGGTGGTACACTTTTGCAGGGGCACATAGTGGATGTATTCATAGCGCTAAAATCCATAATACTACACTGGATCTAACTTAGTGCAAAAAGATACACAAATAGTACATCCGGACAATTGTTTCCCATAACAAAGGGCAAACTTATGAACAGCGTTTCTAGTACCTAGTCCACCGACCCTTGTCCTTGATGACCACCCGCACCCTCCTAGGCATGTTATCTATGAGGTTAGTGCAAACCTTTGCAGGGATCTTCTCACACTCTTCCAGGACCCACCCTGTAGTAGCTTGGTCGATTATGCACCCTTGCACTATTAAAACCAAGCTAGGATCCGAAGATCCGGTCATGGTGCAGCAGCCAAAGAAGTTGCGACTGTTTGGGAAGATTCTCGGGTTGAGGTCTGGTGAGGAAAACGGTCACTCCAGTGCAGCATACTCATGCTCTCCAAGCCATTCCAAGCCAGTTGTCCTGCCTAGGCTAGGAATTACTTGGAGAGCATGAGTATGCAGCACTGGAGTGACCCTCCTTCTCACCAGATCTCAACCGACATATTCTTCCCCGCCAGTTGGGGCTTCTTCGACTTCTGCACCGTGACGAGGCCCGTGGATTTTAACGTGATTCTAATAGTAAAAGGGTGCACAGTCGATTGTGCTATGTTACCCTAAGTTTCGCGGATACGCTAGTTTTCGCCACTTTCCTCGTAATTTTATAGCTCAACGGTACGACGAAGGCGATCCATGATAAGAGGAGATGAATTGACTTATGGCATCTTTGGCCACACCTCACCGTGGCTAGTCTAAGAGATAACATTCAATCCGAAATCGTACACAATACTCTTGCATACGCTCAAATCCTTCACAATTTTCCTAGTGCCCATCCCCTTATGCAAAAGGGGGTGTCCAGGAAGAGTGTGAGAAGATCCCTACAATGGTTTGCACTAGCCTCGTAGATAACATGCCTACGAGGGTGTGGGTGGTGATCAAGTACAAGGGTCGGTGGATTAGGTACTAGAAACGCTGTTCGGAAGTTTGCTCTTTGTCCTAGGAAACAATTGTCCGGATGTATGCTTTGTATATATTTTGGCACAAAGTTAGATCCAGTGAACAATTATGGATTTTATCACTGTGAACACATCCACTAGAGGCCCCTCCTAAAGCGTACCGCCATAAAACATGACAAGCTTATATACAATGGTTGGAAATCTCCAAAACCCTAATAAATGCAAAACATCCAGGAGGATCATGGACCTGTTGTTTGCAAACAGGACCTGGGCGGAGCTAGACTGCTCACCTAAGTCGGTGAGTAAGAACGTCAGCCAGCAGAGCTCCTGAGCAGCCATAGCCCAAGTGTAGATCTCTGCCTCACAACAGGACTACACTATAGACGACCTGGTGGAACTCCACGAGACTGCACCAGCACCAAGACTAAAACAGTAGCCCTGAGATGACCTGAGCGTATCCACGTCATCAATACATGACGAGTCTGTGTGTCCAGTGAGCACCACTAACACCGTCCTCCTAGCATAAGCCCTAGTCCTGATGTACTCGCCAGATACCACAGTACCCTCTTGGCAACCGACCAGTGGCCAGGTCGGTGCCTGCGTGTCGCAACAAACCAAGCCAGGAGACTGAGAGGGTACACTAGATCGAGTCGAGTGCAGGACATCAGGTACATCAGGCACCCCATCAGCTCTGCGTATGGACCACTAGCCTCAACCGGGTCAGCCGGATTAGGAGCTGAGTATCAAGTAAGTGAAGTGTGGAAGGAACAAGTGTACTACACGGGCCTGGCAACGCTGCTGTAGCTCGCGCAGGAGGAAGTACCGCAACTGGATGTGCTTCACCCTGCCCTCGAGTCTAGGCTCCTGACACAGGAGGATCATGGCGTACAGGAACGGGGCAGAGCTAGGCTGCTCACGTAAGTCTGTGAGCAAGAAGGTCAGCCAGCGGAGCCCCTGTGCCGCCATGGTACCAGCGTAGATCTCAGCCTCACAGCTAGACATCACTTGCACCAAGGCTAAGGTAGTAACCCTGTGAGGACCTGAGAGTCTCTGCGTCATCAGCCCAAGAAGCGTCTGTGTGCCCGGTAACGACCACTGGTCTGCGTCCTCCTAGCAATAGCCCCATGACCGATGTACTTGCTAGATAACGCAAAACCCATTTAGCTGCCGACCAGTGCTGCGGTCAGTGTCTGCCGGTGACCACAAAGCGAGCCAGAATGCTGAGAGGGCATGCGAGATCTAGATGAGTGCAAGTCATTAGGTACATAAGGCAACCCACCAGCTCTGCGTAAGGACCACTGGAATCTACAGGCTCCTCCAAAATAGGAGCAGAGAGTCTGTGGTTTACTGGCGGGGGGGTGGGCTGTGCGGAAGAGAACTGAAGGCCGAACCTCTAAAGGACCTGACGCACCAAGTGTGATTGTGTGAGAGAAATGGTGTGCGCTGCTCTGTCCCTGGAGATCTACAAGCCAAGGTAGCGGCCCAGCTCTCCTAGGTCAGTGCAGGTGTGTCTCCTCAGCAGCTCGGCCTTTACGAAGGCCAGCGCATCTCTGTCTGCAGTATCAAAGACCAGGTCGTCT